ATATATATATATCCTAAATAAAAATTCCAAAGATCGATATCATATGTGTAGGCATATTGTGAATGTATGCGCAATTCATCACCCTTGTTCAATTTTCTGAAAAAGATTTATGTACACTACAAACACAATAATAATGCCATGGTCGTCCTTTACGGAAAGTTGAAAAGGACCAATTTATCTTGAAGAAACACACCAAACCAGCAATATATAATGTTTTTACCGGAAAATGGTACGATCCCGGAACCATTCCGTTGGAATTTGTAACCGCTAGATCATCATGTAATTGTCGCAGATAATTGCTACAACGGTTACAAATAACGGGACCAACGTCTCTTTGTTTTTACTTTCTCATTACCAAATTCTCACTCTACTCTTATCGATTAATATATAAAGAGGTAATGAAATTTACTTGAAATAGCAACTAAAAATCAGCAAAAAAACATTTGATTTCCCGCCTAAAATATTTACTATATTGAGTAATATTTTTGGCCAAAATTGAAAAATCTCGCCTAAACTGATGTAATTAATATACAAAATCATTTTGGTCGAATATTGTATCTATTACCTTTATTAGTTGCATGATTTTAATTTGGAATATAATACATTGACAAAACTTGCAGTTATTACTTTTTATAGTTGCATGGTTTAAATTTAATATATGATATATTGAAATAAATAAAAAATATATTTAAAAAATAAAAATAAAAAAATAATTATTCATAATTTGCGGGTCAATATTAACTTGGATGTAAATGAAATAGTCAATTATTTATAGTTTAATAAATTACTCAATAACTTACGAGTCAATATTTACTTTGACGTAAACGAAATAGTCAATTATTTATAGTTAATATATTGCTAAACTACTTAATATTTTTATTTGAATAGTTTGTGCAAAAATAGATTATTTCAAGTAATGAAACGATATAAATTTTATATTTATACTTATTATCCACGGTTATTAAATATATGATAACATTTTACCAAAATAACTATTTTTATGGAATCACATTATAGTCAAATCGAATTTCTGAATAAAAATTTTGAACAGATATTTATTCTGAAACTAATATAATGTGATTTATTATCGTTATGTGCACCACTATAATAATTTTGAATAGATATTTTTATGTAATTTTGTACAATTTAAATTTTATATAACATTTTCAATAAATTATAATAGGTGATTGTATTACATATTTTAAAATTATAAATATTACTTAATACGAAGTTTTAATTTATAAATATTAGTGAATATCTCTTATTGCACGGGACTCATACTAGTTCATTAATTATTCCTATTATATGTTAAATTGGGCCAAATATATAGCATATTATTGTATTAGTTGTTTGTAAATAACTGCTCGTAAAAAACGAATTGTATAGCTATTTTAAAAAATTTATATTAACATGTTATTCTACAAAGCCTCTATTTAAGAAGAAAAAAAAAACACTGATATTCAACTTTTCAAAATTAGCAAGCTAAAAAACATAACCATATATATAAATTATTTACAAAACAAGTTCATTAGATCAAACCTCTAAACAGAGTTCAATAAGCAAAATTTTCACCCAAAAAATAAAGGAAACCAAAAAAATAAAACAAAGGAAAGGAGGTTGTTAGACTAATAGAGTTTGAGCGCGATATATGGACTAATACGATACCTTCATCTTCCCGACTGCCCACCGGCGGCAAGATGGCGCCAGCTGTGTGGTGGTTGCTATCTTGTGCATGGT